TCCATTATGGTAGGTACCAAAGATGAATTAGCATCTAAATAAATTTTACTTTTAAAGTAAAATATACCTTCCTTGTATTCCCAAAGACCCACAGCATTTCCTTCTTGGTATAACTGCATTAGTCGTTGCAAAGTGTGATTATTTTGCACCTCTTCTTTAATTCTTTCCAACCATAATGGAATTGGAGAAGATATTGTAGCCAACTCCCCTTGCTCATGCCTTCAAGACAACACATCTGCAACAAGGTTCTTTTTCCTTTTTATATGTTCTATGACAAAGTCAAATCCCATCAATTTATTAAACCATTTTTCTTGAGCTCTTGTGGCCATCTGTTATTCCCATAAATATTTTAGGCTTCATTGATCTATCTAGACAATAAACTTTCTTCCCAGTAAGTATGGTCTCCTTTTTTTTTACTATAATGATCAAAGCCATCATCTCTATTTCATAAGTAGACAAAAATAAATATTTACCTCCTAATGCTTGGCTTAAGAAAGTAATAAGCCTTTGATTTTGCATAAGAACTCCCCCAATGCCTATTCCAGATGCATCACATTCAACAATGAATGATTGCTAAAAGTTAAGAAGAGCTAACACCGGTTCTTGGGTCATAGCCCTTTTGAGCTACTCAAATGCTCCTTTTACTTAGGAAGTCCATTGAAAATTGTCCTTTTTTTAACAATTGAGTCAATGGTGTAGCTATTTTACCATAATCCTTGATGAATTTACAGTAGAAACCCTTAAGTCCCAAAATTCCCCTCAATGCCTTAACTGTATTAGGCTTGGGCCATTCAAGCATGGCTGCAATTTTATCTAGATCTATAACTACCCTCATTCAAAAATTACATGACCTAAGTATTTCACCTCTTGTTGAGAAAAGTTACATTTCTCCCTTTTGACAAACAACTTGTGAGTCCTCAAAATTTTAAATGCAAGATCAAGACGGGAGAATTAATAGATCTTGAAGCTAGTCGGGAAACAGGAAGAAAATGAGCCTGTAAATAATTTCTTGCATCTACCTATTTTTAACAAAGTGGGTAAAAGGTGGCTACTTCGAGGGAGTCAAAAATACCTCCAAGTACAAGTAATTAAGTAAAAAAAAAAAGGGTACTCTTATTGCTATAACGCATTAATAATTTATAATAATTACTCTAACTAACTTTTCCTAATTTCTAGCAACAAATAATGAAATTATCAAAAAAAAATTTTGTAACTATTCCACTTATTTCTCAACAACTCAAAACTAGTCAAACTACTTGCTAAGACACGTTTCTTTTACTCTTCGAAAATAATTCCAACAGGTAAAGCTAGCATGTGATTGGAATTGAAAGGATTTGAGAGAAAGAGAAAGAGGTGTTTGGTTGCTATAGTTATGAGAAAAAGAAAGCATCAGGTACACTTAAAATAGTACATCTATCGATAGTTTGTGTTCAAATTTTTAATCACGGTATCTATCTATCAATCGATAATATGATTTGTCGATCATTTTTCTTTAGATAATGTTTTTTATTATTCATGTGATAATTCTAAGTATGATTACTTTTATTTTTTATAAGTTTAAGTTAAAAATAAATATTTAGTAATTTTAAATATTTTAATATTTAAATAATTAATATTAAAATATTATATTATTTTTATCATGTTATTGTTTATTATTTTATTAGATAAAGTTGAAATGTTAAAATTTTACATTAAAAAATATAAATTTATTTAACTTTATATTTTTATACATAAAGATAATTTTGTAATTTTGTGCTACATTTTCAGTAAAGTGTTTTCAAACTAACCGTTACAATGTAATCCTCTCAACAATCACATTCTCTATAATCATTACTTTTTCATATTATATCAAATACTGTAAAGTTTTATTTCAAACGTTATAAAATTATCTTTCTAGCAATCATATTCTCAATAACATATCAAACGCAACTTAACTCAATTTTTTTAATTGTGGATAGACTTTCCCTCTAGAAGCAGGTCTGAAAATAGTAATGGGCTCAATCCTCTTTCTCTCATTTTAAAGGAGAATTTGGAAATTTAAAAGTTCAAAGGTAAAATATAAAGCTCTTATTTAAATAAAAAATCTTATTTTTTTCTAAAAAAATATAATTGAAAATTTAAAACTATTACTTTTGATGATATAAATATACAAGGCTATTTTAATTGATCCCATTGGACAAAATATAGTTACCCTCACCATTGATAACTCTTTTATATTTGCACCCCACTCCCCACTTGAAATATGAAAAGAGAAAAGGGAAATAGCTTCAATTATTTTTTATCTTTATTATCCGACATATTGCTTTAACTTAAAATAAATTTTAAATTTTTTTGTTTATATAAAAAAATGCTCTTAATGAAAAATAAAAATACAATATTTAAAAAAGTTATTGAACTATTTAGAGAAATTCAAATAAATTTTTACGATTAATAGTTGATTAAATATTGTTAGTAAAAATATTACTTGTTATTTTATATCACGTGATATCGATGTAACATACTAATATAACCTTGTGACATTTGTCATTTTTCATATCAGTACCACCTAAGTGTCATGTAGATATAAAATAACAAGTAATATTTCGATTAATGACAATTAATCAACAGTCAAAATTCTTGAAAAGTCTTTGTGCTTATGTATTTTGTTCAATTTAGTCTTTGTATTCAAAATCGTAACATTTTAGTCCGTTAATTTTGAGAATTGCTTCAATTTAGTCCTTTCCTCTAATAACATTCAATTTTACCATTAAAAAGGTAGTGTCAGCAATGATATCAACTCTGACGTGGCACATTTTGATGACGTGACACCTACTTGTTGGCGTGGCATGTCATGTGGCATCGAATGATGACATGACAGTGCCATGTGGCACTACTATGATGATGTGGCAATGCTAATATGGCACTGACATGTTAGCATGTCAATGCCACGTGGCAAATAAAAAATTTTAGCCACGTCATAGGACTAAATTGAACAAAAATATATAGTATAAGGATTAAATTGAATAAAATTGAGATGTTAAGGAACTAAATTAAAAATAATATTTAAAAAATGTCAATCTTTAAATAGATGATAGATATACTTATTAATAAGCCAAATATTTAAGTTTAAAAGATTTATAGTGTTAATATATATATATAAATTTTTTTATTTAATTATTTGATTTTAAAATATGTACATTAATTTATCATTTCTACAAAAATTAAGTTTAAATTCTCCTTTTATAAAAAAATTTTGAAAAAAATTTCCAAAAGAATTTGATACCTAAAGTCAAATTTAGATGAATAACTTGCATTTTGTTAGAATAAAATAATATAAAACAACTAAATAAATTCGTTTTTCTTTTATTTATAATAGTATAAAATTTTGAAATTGATTTGATTTAATTTTGAACTTGAGCTGAATTCAAATTAACAAAATAAGTTGATTTAGTTACAACTTTCACAATTTTCAAATAATTATTCTTTTGAAATTATTCAACCCTTATCTAATTTATCTTTTATTTAAATTTATTTAAAATTTTTATAAAATGATTTTATTTAACTTCAAATACCACAATCAAATTCTGTTAAATTTAAATTTAAATTATTAATTTGAATCTATAAAAAATTTGTAAATACAAAATAAAATTATACGAATATTTACAATTATATTTACCTCTATCAACCATAAATACAGTCTTTAATCTAAGACATTTCAACCTGAAATATTAAACAAAATAAAAACATAAAAAATAAATAAATAATTGAAGGGGTGGAGTAACTTAGATTCTATGTTGTAATAAGAGGTTTGTAATACCTAAATTAAACAAGTTAGAACAAAGAATTACTTTTATAATCATGGTTAACTCTATATCTCCCTTTTTCATTATCTTAAAAGAAAAACTAAATCAATCTATTTTGCTAATTTGAGTTCATCTGACGTTAAAATTAAGTCAAATAAATTTCAAATTTTTGTACTATTATAAATAAAAAACTTTATTTAGTCTTTTTATATTCTTTTATTCCAACATAATGTAAGTTATTCATCTAAATGTAACTTTAGGTATGAAATTTTTTTTGAAATTGTTTTATAAAAGGAGAATTCAAGCTTAATTTTTGTAAAAAAAAATTAATGTATATATTATAGAATCAAATAATTAAGTAAGAAAATATTTATATATACTTTTTAACACCATAAATTTTTTATACTTAAATCTTTGGCTTATTAATAAGTATATCTAACATCTACTTAAAGATTTACATTTTTCAAAAAAATTTTCAATTTAGTCCCTCAACATCTCAATTTTGTTCAATTTAGTTTTTATATTATATATTTTTGTTCAATTTAATTCTTATAACATGGCACAAAAAAGAATTTTTAGAAAAGTTTTAATATGTCACGTAGCACTAATATGTCAGCATGTTAATGCCTCGTCAACATTGCCATGTCATCATAGTAGTGCCGCGTGGTGTTACCATGTCATCACGTCGATACTGCATGGCATACCACACCATCATGTAAGTGCCACGTCATCAAAATGTGCTATGCTAATGTCATCTTTTTAACAGAAAAATGTTGTTAAAAAAAAGACTAAATTGAAGTAATTTTTAAAATTAAAAGATTAAAATGTTACGAATTTAAATACATTGACTAAATTGAACAAAATGCATGGGTACAAAAACTTTTCAGGTATTTTGACCATTAATCAACCATTACTTCTTAGAGCATACTTGACCCAAAATAAAAATAGACTTAATTAAATCCAATAGTTAAATAAAGACTTATTTAAATTTTTTGAATAGTTTAAAAAAATTTTAAAAACATTATGGCTAAAGTAAACAACCTATAAAACAATAATGCAATTAGAGACAGAATTTAAGTGAAGAATTTTAGATGAAGTTTGTGAAACTATCTTATAATCATATTAATTATCAATTTCTTTAATTATAGTCTAAAACTTCTGTGATTGATGTGTAAAATAATTATACTAATATCTTTTCCTACACTACAAGAGGAAGAAAAAAGGAAAAGAAGTTGTCATTTTATTGCTATTGGAATTACAAAATATATAAGAAACACAGAAAAAAAATACATGATGGGGAAGAGTTTGGAGAAAAGTTGTTATGATTTACAGAAGCAGAATTGGCATAGGGCTGTTATCTGAAAGGCTCAACAGGCGCTGACTCTTCAAGAATGGCAGCAGCCTCAAAACATTCAGCCGCTTCTTCAAGTGACGCTGCAGTGTCTTCTGCTTTGTGAAGCAGACCAAGATTATACCATGCAGATGGGTTCATCCTATCAACTCGGAGAGCATTCATCAGCAAGCTTTTTATAATTGCAGTGGATTGGCTCCCAAGTTGTCTGAGCACACCAGCTGCAGATATCAAGCTTGGCACGTGATTGGGATCCATATCCAAAGCATTCCGATAAGCCTTCAGAGCTTCCTTTAGGAGCCCTTTTCTCTCATAAAGTACACCTGCAAAATAATATATATATATATATATTGGGTGAGGGGTGGGGAGAGAAGGAATAAGAGAAATCTAAGACATTACACATTAGAGGAATTTGTTAAACAAAATTATGAAGAATATAAGAAGTACCATGCATTGACAACAGCATAAACCAAGGGAAGAATAAACTTACCAGTTGCATGATTTCTAACAGCAGAGTAAGAACAGATGGCCGAGGATTTTGAAAGACAAATCTCAGCATCTCGCCACTGTGACAAGCTTATGTAGAGATAAGCTAGATCATGCCATATTTCCTGTTCAAAACTCCTAGAAGAATATCCACAATCCTGTGAACAATTAATCAAAAAGATAAGCCGCTTTAAAAGTTGTTCCCTGAAAAATATTTTCTCCAGGAAAATGACACAAGAAAGTGCATCAAACACTCCAACTGCAAATGATATCATGTTCTAAGGAGAAAAAGATCTTTTTTTAAGTTTTGAGTGGATAGTAATCACATCCAAAACTGGCAACCAAAACTTCCCTCAATCATACTCTAAAAGGCCATTCACAACGTACCATTCTCACGGCATGCCTCAAATCTGTACCATGCACAGGTACCCAAGTGATGGCAAGTCACATAGTTAAATACAAAACATTAAAAAGGATGATTTCTTAAGATCATTTCTGCAAATCCACCTTCTAACCTACCTACCTATCTAATTCCAAAAACCTATGCCTGACCTAAAGTCAACTTGGTTGGAGAACCATTTCAGTTTCTTCCAAGAAGATAGAAATCAATTAAACAACATAGGTAATGAATAGGAACACTAAGCAACTAACAGACCTTATGAAGCTTCTTGCCAGAACCAAAACTTTTACTCTGTACTTGAAGAACAGCAAGAAGCTGAGTATATGTCTCAATGGCACTTTTCAGCCGCCCCTGCGCAATTTGAAGTTTAGCTTTGGTGCGCAATAATTCTCCCTGATCCCATTTTCCAGTTTGATCCAAGGCAGCATTGAGAACAATTTCACCATCCATAAAACGTTTTTGTGCTGACAATATGCGAGCCAACAACAACCACCCCCTAATGTTAGAGCCACCTTCTAGTTTTAGCGAAGACTTTGCATAATAAAGTGCAGCTTCCAACTTCCTCTGCTCAGCATTTCCCAGGCTGAGATAATAAAGAAAATTTGGGTCTTTCATACTTGCAATTTTCCCAGCACTTTCCAAGGCCTGAAGGGCCTCAGACTGTCTTGCAAACCTCTCAGAATTGGATGGGGCTGACTTAGAATGTCCTAAAAGAGCCACACCCAGTAAAAAGTTACCGGTAGCTTCCAACTCACTGCATTCATCCTCCAAGCTTTCAAGGGCTCTATGAGCAAACCTAATCCCTTCTTCTGCAAAATTTGGTTTTTCCCCACAAATTCTTGATGCCATTAACAAAGCTTGAACACAATCTGGATCCTCTCTACTACTCAACAATTTCCGCAATAGATTCAAAGCAACCAAATCTTCTCCTGCTCCATAATAACAGAGAGCTAGACTGTGGTATCTTTCTTTGCGATTAATAATCCCTGGAAGCAGCTCTTCTATTTGCTTAGCCAAAGCCCTCAAATCCCCAGACATGGAGAGAGCAAATGACAGATGATCCAAAATTGATGGATCCCATTCAATTCTCTTCAGAGAAACTTTTCTTAATAGTATCATTAACAGGAGTATAGCTTCTTCTATGTTATTTCTAGGGACAAATGAACTATCCATTTGGGAGCGGAGGTTTGGGGGGCTTGCTTCACCTCCACAATAGAGAAGAAAAATGGCAAACTGTTTTTGAATCCTTGCGGTTGTTTCTGCATCAAGGTTCCACTGATGGAGAAGAGCCCTGCGGTAGGACAAAATTGCTTCACGTGGAGAATCACTAAATTTCCATAATTCTGGAACCAGCTCGACAGCCTTATTAAGAGTCTCCTGCAATTTACAGTCAGCACCAAAGTTTTCAGGCAAGCCTTCTGGTAATGAAGATTCAACAATGTCCAGAATAACTTTGCAAGTTTGAGCAGCTTCTGCAAGAATGAATGGAAATACACATTAGCCTTAAACTGATGATTAAATTGTTGTGTGTAGCTCTTTCCTCTTTATTTATTTTTTTGAGGAGAAAGAATGTCATGAAGATAAGAAACATGAAGGGCATCTGATAACAATGAAACCAGCTAAAAAATACTTGACAAACGCCATCCCAAATAGCAAAGAAGCTTGTCAAGAAAATAAAATAAATAGAGCATCGAAGCTAGGATATCATAAGAGTGTTCTAGTTTAAATGTCGTTGGATGCTTGGAAAGATGCCAATGCCAAGAATGGTAACAGAAAGAAGGCTGAAAAGATTTTGAACTAGAGAATTTTAAGCATAAGAGGCATTTCACTTTGATAATGAAAATAAATACATATATACTACTAATAATACTAATGTTATGAATTACTCACATATACTAATGATGATATTAGTCATACTTACCAATTATTGAAGGAAAGCATACTAATATTTATAAGATAGCAAGGGGAAGGGATATGGAAAAAAAAATGCAATATATCTTAATAGAAACTAGTATCCTGACAGCTTGATTCATGAAATCCCATCCAAATTAGCGACATAGCTAAAGCAACTTTTTAAAGGAATTCATGACAATAATGACATAGAAATCAGTCCCGCTTAGTCATCATCAGAAGGAATAAATTTAGAATATAAAATAAAATGAAATTTAGAGTGTAAGTCTAAAAGCACCTAACTATAACTTACTGCATCCATACAATTACAGAGTCGATTTAAGATCTATATACTACTACATATAAGAAGTACCTTTAAACCTCTGGAGATGCTGCAATGATTTTGCTTTGAGAAAGATTGCTTCTACCAGTAAACTGACAGCATGGATAGACATTGGTGGAGGAGCATAGTCATGAGACCGTCTCTTATGACGTTCTACTCTTCTGGAAAGGGTGAGTTTCATTTTGGGACTTATTGCAGCGATATCTATTCCTTCAAACACATGTAGTGCAGCTTCTATATTTCCTTTCTGATATTCAATTCTTCCCAGCAGCGCTCTTGCTTCCTGCAAATTGCAGACACCTTAGCCAAAAGAAAGCAAATAAATGCGCTTATAGAATTAATGCAACTAATTTCCATACAACAGATTAGTTAAACTAGGAATGCTAGGATTGACAAGTGGCAAACAAAGAAGGAAAAGGAAATGCACAAAAAAGAATTAATAGACCGTGCAAATGACTGCAAATTCCAGACAAATATACTATGATCACTTTTTCGCAAACAGTGTTGACAAGAGTTAAGATAAGCGAGAAGCCACAGGTGGAAGGTACCATGAAGAGTAACAAAGGGCATAATAATGCAAGAAGCAACATTATGGCATGGACACAATAATGAATGGTCTAAAAGAAGAAGTAGCCTTAATTAAAGCAGTGTTAACCAGTTACTCATCAAAAACTTGTAAAAATGACAACTTCTGGCTGTAATTAGACCAAACTGACAAAGTAGAATCTGCATAAGTTTTAGAGTTTATATTGTCAAATAGAAAAATATATGGCATTTAAAGTTAAACTGATAACTTCAAGCCTATACCATAGCAGAGTAAACAAGAGGCATTACCGTATCAGCATATTTTGCTGAACTAGGTTGAATAAAAATCTCAAGCAAGGTAGAATAACCAGATGTCATAGAAATATCCTTACTAAGTTTAACTTTAAATGACAAAAACTTTAATTACTAGTACAGAATAAAGATTCCTACTGATGAATGAAAAGATCAGGAAAACTCCTAAATGGAGGCTTGAATAGACAAAAACATGCCAGACTTGAAAAGTTATCAGGTTTATTCTTAATATGGTTTGGAATTTAGGAAAACCAATATGCCATCTCCAATTATCACTACAATAATACAGACCCCAATGACAGCAAGGACAAACAAATACTCCAGAACGAATCAACTTGAAAGCTGGAAGAACGAAGAAGCAAACCTCATAATTCAGTGAACTACTTTCACGCAGCGACAATTCAGCTTCTTCTATATTCCTGGTATCCGGCTTTTTTTCACTGTCACTAACTTTGGAAGAATAACCGCTTAATGAATAATCTTTGATAGCAAGGGATTCGGATGAAGGTATCATCTTGTTTACTTTTGTTATTTGCTCTCCGGTGCATAAACACTTCATTATCTGTCCCAAATCCCCCCTAAGTCCACCGCTTCTCGGCTTCTTAATCCTTATTTTACCCTTCATATTGTTTCACCACTCTCCAAAATCTTCAAGAAAAAGGAAAAAAAAACAGGGATAACAATAACATATCAGTACTCAAATAGAAGATGTAGATCAAAAGGATACATGTCATAACTAATAGATGTACAATATGATGATCAATGCAATCATACTAATCCATAAACAGTAAAGTTCTAGCTTTTGTCGCATAAAACAGATTACAAGAATCAAAATTTGAGAATTTAAGACATCTGAAACTGAAATCCAACGGTAAGTTATGAAAAGAATAATTTAAGAAACCAGATAAATTTTATTTTAATATAATTTGACCTTAAAACCCAGAATTCAAAAACCCAAAATTACTGATCAAGACCAAAAACCGGCCAATATTTCACCAACCCCACTTCCAAATTCTCACCAAACATCTTATCAAGTTTCTAAATTATAAATTAAAGAACAAAATAGACACAAAGTTTACCAAAAAAAAAATCTGTCTCCATTCGAGTAATCCAGAATCCAAAAACTTTACAGAAACTGACAGTTCAATCAAGTCCACATTAAATAAATAAAGCAAATAAAAAAGAAAAAGGAAAAAAGAGCAGCTCACCTTTTGTTTTTCCAAAGAGAAAGGGAGCAAAGAGACCACAGGACATCAACAGCAACACCTCCCATCTGTTTTTGAAGATTGCCCCTTCCAATCCAAACAAAGCCCTGCTTTAATTAAAGGTTGTAACTTTGAAAAATAAAAATTAATCAATCAAGCAAGAATCCAAAGCCAATGCCTCCAAGAACCTTTTGTTTTCTTCTTTTCTTTGCTTCTTCTTTTTCTTTTCTATTCTTTTGAAATTTCTTTTCCTCCTTTTGGCCCCTCCTCTGTTTTTTCTTATTAATAAAAATCTTGGGGTTCAAAAACAAAATAACAAAACAAGGGATGGAATGGAATGGAATGGAATGTGAATTGGATCGTGAGATAGCAGATTTGGAACTTCAAGGAAGAAAAAAAAATATTTATAAAAATGAACCAAAAAAAAGGAATTAAATAAGGTAGGTTACTATTGTCAGAAATCGGGATTCTGGGGTCCACTAACGACGGTGGGCTCGGCTAGTTCTGCGCCACGTGGGCACCCTTTCATATGTTTTAGTGCTGGATTTTGACGGTTATTAACGAGATTGATTGACATTTGTGTATTAAGCTTTTCCTTTTATAGTTTGCTCCTCTCAAAGAAACTAAAAAGCAAACTGATATAATACTTGAATAAGTTTTTAAATTATTTAAAAATTTTTAAAGTAAATTTTTATTTTTTTAGTATTTTTAATTAAGTTTATATAATTTTTTTAGTTAAATAGATTTTTATAATTAATTATTATTTATTAAAATTTTATTTATTATTTTATATTTATATGACGTTAACATGAAACATAAAAATGTAACATGGTCATATCATTGCGTTACAATATAATAGTATATCATGTCATCATTTATTATAATATATCAACATCATGTGATATAGAATAATAAATAGTATATTGATTAAAAACAGTTAGTCAATTATTAATTATTAAAGTTTGTTTGATTTATAATAAAAATATAATAGTTTGATTAAACATAATAAAAAATAAAATTTAATTTAATTTTTTTAAAATAGCTTAAATTTTTTTAAAATATTATGTAATATTTAAGTTCTAAATCACAGCTTGATTTTACTAAATTGATCACTGTTAACTGAAAACGGGTCTAGCTTCGGGTTGAAGTTTGTGTAATTATAAAATTGCAGATATACAAAGTAATCCTTTGTCGACATATTTTCTATTAGTTTGACACCTAGCATTCAAAAGAACCAATACTAATAAACTTTTTAAATAGAAATCATGCCTCTTTGATTTTTTGGGAAATGAAATTCAAAACAATAATTGAGAGTTGAATATGAAATCTCTTCTATAAAATATAAACGTAATTACAAATCAGATTATTATAGCTTGACCAAATTAAAATTCAACCATCACAATTTAATCAAAGAAATTAATTAATAAATTATATAAGTGACAGTGAGACACTTCATGTGTTTAATCCATGCTTAAACAAATTAGATTGTTAGTGATCATATCATGAGCAGTTCCTTTTACCAAGAAAACAAATGCATCTAGCATGGCTGGGTTACATGCATACATGTAAAAGCAGTGAAGAAAAGGCAAACCCTTAATGATGACAACCATATTGCATATTCTGCAATAATTGGGTTCAAAAGGGCATGGTTTTGGTTTAAGTTTAAGGGAGAGGAGGATTAATTAAAGCCTGCCTAACATCTGCCATGAGTGCTAAAGGAATTGACTGCTACTGGGTGTTTGGTGGCTGAATTAAAGGCCTTTTACAGCTGTGGGCTTAAGCCTTTTATTTTTGTGGGGAGTTATTGTACTTTATGATGTTGATATTAAAGCTTGGGGAATTAATTACTAATAAATAAATTTTGGAGCATGGGGTTGATTCTAGTTGGGCAGTGTTTTCCTCATGTGTTTTTAATGCATGACTTAGCAGATGGAACCCTAACCTGTCCTAATTCCAAATCTTTTTACACTTTTTGTTCAATTTTGATATTGATTTAGGCAGCTAACCCAACTACTTTTTATTTTTCCAAGATAAAGAAATAAAAAAAGAGAAAGAAGCAACATAAAACAATTTAAATATATAATTATTTTATATTATTGCAAGGTGAGAGGAGTTTTAAATTTATAAATAAGAGTTTTAAAAACAAAAGTTTTTACCAGAAATAATTACTTTTCGGTTATATTTTCTTTTAATAATTCATCATGTCCACGTTAATATTGGAATTTAAGAAAAAATAAAATACTAACTAGGGTTCAATTATTAAGGTATAGAAAGATGTCTGTTTTCCACCAAAAGTCCACCTTGTTGAAAATATTGGATGCTGGCATGCGATGCTCCCATATATATATAGTCTCATTTCATCAACAAGGGCTGTCTGTGGCCGTTGTCAGTCATCAGAATGTTTCTCTTTTTGGTCATTTTGCCAAAATCATCATTACGAACCACAGCAATCACCTTCAGGAAGTTGAGTACTTGGTCGTCTATGTTTGTCCAATGATGCATGCACCAGAGAGCTCACCAATGCAATCCTGCTCCAAAACCAGCATGGTGCATGACATGACACACTTGTAAGGCAACAAGTAGTATTACAACTGGCTGATCAAGACCAGATTACTTTGTTCTAGAATTGATCTGCTTATTGTAAGATAAAAAAGCAGATATCCCAAGTACATGCACAAACAGAAAGAATGGGAAGGGGTAATGCATTAGATTGGTGAAGTAAACATTATGTCCATCTTGTCCAGGTTCAATACATCCATAGGATTATCGATCACTGATGAGGGATAACAATTTACAAATCAAAGCTCATTGTTAACTTAATTCCTTAATAGAAATAATTGTTTACCCAAAGCTAAGTCATTGGAATTGTAATCCAGCTGAAAATGAAGGCTTTCTCCAGAGCAAAGTCAGAATGACCGAACAGGTTAGGTAGGTACAAGGCAAACGAGGTCTGATAGTTTGGTTGGGCATGTGTTCTGCCTTTGAAGCTAGGAAGAAGAGTCGATAGGCGTTGCACTTCATGCCTGGTCCTGTCCCATAAAAAGCATGCAAATTGCATGTCAATATAAAGATGTGCCAAAACGTTATATAGTATTTTTAATTAACCATGTGTTAAACAGACCTTAGTATTTGGCCTCCTGCAACCCTACGCATCTTTCAAGGGCGCACAAGTTTGACGTTCATTGCCCTTTCCTTTTCTTTAACTTTTTTAAATAAAAAAAAAACCAATAAAGAAGATTTATCATTTGTCATGTTAATTATTTAATACAAGACAAAAGTTGCATTCAAGTATACTGAGGCCAAGGGGCGAAAAGATATGGTAACTAATTCCCCATGTGAGCTGCCTAGTCTGCTCTGAGCAAATTCTAAACACCGGCCTTGACTACATCTTAATAAAAAAAAATGAATACAACCCAATGACTAATTGATTTAATTGGTAAGATGGTTAGTCTCAATCTTAATAGTTTTGGTTTAACTTATATCATATTTATATATATTTTTTCCCTTTGTGTTAGTTAATGTTTGCATAGTTGGCTTGTCAGCAAGATGCTCCAGCATCAAATCTTTTTAAACTTTGGACAAATATAAGGACTTGTTTGTTGAGACCAATGCCAGCAAGAGAGATGAGCAGCTGAACCAAATTAAGGTTCAAGTTATTTTTTATGGAAATGTGCTTAGAATTTTATTAAATGTAATAATGAGATTTGACTGGGAAAACAATTCAAGAGAGAGTATAAATAGATATTTACTATACATAATAAAAGCTACTACTGGAATAACCAACCTGCATGAACTACCTATCCTTGGCCCCTTTTGCTGCCCACCTGTATTGGTATGTTCATATATATAATCTTGAGTTATTAATGTGAAATTAGTGTCTTGTATCTCATAAATGACAAATCTCTTTTTATCTATTAAGATATCCGAATTGAGATAATTAATTATATTTTATCAAATAAAAAGGATATTTTGAAAATTTAAAATAATTAATGTAATTTATATTTTTTCTACAAATTGTCTAAAATATCTACTAAATTGAATCTAATTGATAAGATATGAAAAAAAATATAATAAATATCTTTTAATCAGATATGATAAAGGTGACTCACAATCGGATTTATTATGGATATGGATAGCCAGTTCATTACCCGTCTAAGGTTTGAGTAAAGTACAATATCACCCCTTGAATACCCATAAAAATCTATTATATTATTATTTTATATTAAATAATTAAATAATGAAAAGAATGTTCAAGTTAAAATGTCAGCCGTAAAAGAGGCAAGGGAGAAGTTTGTCAAAATATTATTCTATTCTACAAAAATCAAATGCGTGATGTACGATAAAGATAGTAACGTATCGTCAGTTGGACAGCGTTGGCGGGGATGCTGGGGACGGGGCTAGTGCTGGGGCTGGGGCTGGGGCTGGGGCCTCTTCATTAAATCAATAATGCTCGATTTGATTGACATCTCAAGTATATTGGGATTCATTTTCTCCCTCTCTTATTTTTTTTTTTTTGACTTTATGATATAATGTACGTCGACTTCTCCACACCATTTGCTTCAAAGCATATAGCCCAATGTAAATCATCCAAGTGGATGATCCTAAATTTAAGTAAAGAAAAATAGTATATTAAATTTTTAATTAATGTAAATACTTAGATTTTAGTATACTTTCATCGTTATCAATTTTAAACAATTAAAAAAATAAGACATGTTTAACAATTTATTATTAAAATATTCCCATAACTTTTTATTTTTTATTTTTTTCTATTTGCATTTTTTATTTTTTAATTTACATTTTCATTTAATAATTTAAACATTACTGGTTATTTTACTTATGGTTGGAAAGAGATTGGTTGCACTTTCACACGTTACCCTTGAAAGAAGCAAGTGATAAGCTGTAGTTATCAACACTTTCTTTTTTGATAAATAGTTATTAATTTTTATTTGGAGTTATTTAGCTATTGTGGTAATCTTAACCACAATAACATAAAAAGGGTAACAGTTTATTGCTAATTACATTTGCATTTAAGTTTTTGATTTAATGATAAATACATAATCAATACTTTTGTCATTTGAGTTTAAAAATTGAGAATTTTTTATTTGAAGATTATGAAAGGGATTAATAACTTATATTTAGTAAATTTGATTATGTAATGTAAAAGATTAATTCGATATTACTTTAAGCATGCAACATAGTAATCTAACATAAATTTTACTTTGAGGGTTGATATCTTCTTTTAATTTTCAAACGAAAGTCAATAAGAGAGTATTGAGTTCCAAACCTTTTCAACTTAGAATTTCATTCAAACCTTTTCAACTTAGAATTTCATTCAAACCTTATCTCAACAAATGTTTAAGTTAAACTTTTAAAAGAGTTTCATCTTGGAGGTTTTA